TGTCTCTTTTTTAATAAGTTTTTTTGACAATTTATTATCTTTTGTGACCTATTCTAACAATCTTTGTCAACTGAATGATAATCTTTGATATCAAACAATACTCAAAACGTGCCTAGATAACTTTGATCATCAAAATTAAAGATAATTTAGCCCCACTCAAAATCCAAGATATTCAAAATAGATATTGTGAAAGAACTCAAAAGCTCTAACTATTATGAAATCTAAAAATTAAAGAAACATTGAATATAAAAAAAAATGCAATACCACCTAACAATATCAATTCATAGAGGCACCATCCTCTCTTTACATGATGTTTAAGAGAGCCACTATGAAAATGAACATATAATTTAATCCTTAGTTGATGAAATCCCTAATACGTAATCCTTAATTAAATATATCCAAATAAAGACAAAATAGACTAAATCCCCCTTTAACTTCACGTCAAGCGTAGGCTGACATCTTGATTCCAGCTGCTGGATCCACAAATGTTACTTTGCACAGTGAATTTTATCTTTTTTACCAAAAAAGATTAGATAAAACTGGATTAAGACCCCCTACATTCACAACCGCTTAAAATGAATATATTTTTGGCAATTAAAGAATAATATTTAGAATCACACCACTTATTAGCATGAGAACTATGTATGGTATTAGAGAAACTTGCAAGTGTAAAATCTACACCAATTATTAATGAGGAATAGGAAAGGTAATTAATATTTATCTATAAGATAGCTCTTCAAATCTTAGTGTAGTCAAATTGTAGTTGGTATTTGAAGGAGGTACTAGGTTTGGAGCAGCTCTAAAACATGATTTTTCATGTTTTATTAACTATATCAATAATGATATTTTAAAATGATGAATTGTAAACTATAGTTGATTCCTACATCTCCAAAGCTTTACATTTCTTTTTGTTACCTTTACTAATGTTTTAGAGTGTCAAAGTTTAATGTACATAGTAATGTTACTCAGCTTGATATCATATATATTACTAATTCTTTCAGACAATATTTTACAACTTCATAAATTATCCATTGGGAGGAAAAATGAGTTCTTTGATATCTTAAAGGAATTATTAATCATGGGATCACTTATATGCATTTAAAAATCATTCTATGATATTAACAGTTTACACTGATTTAAATTGGGCTGGTGTAATTTATGACTCTTGTCAATCTAGAAGTGGCTTATGTTTTCATGTAAATTCTAGTGTTGTCTTTTAGTTTTTTTAAGTGTAAACATTGGATAACATTATTTTTTACAAAAGCAAAATATGTTATAGCTAGTTTAGCCACTCGAGAAATTATATAGTTTCATAAACTACTTACTAAATTGGGATATCCTCTGTCACTCCCATGTTTTTATACTATGATAATCAATTTAGTATTGCTTTGGTCAACTTCACTCGAAGTCTAAGTATGTTAACATACACTATCAATATGTTTTATTTGATGTAATGTTGTGGGAAAATTAGTTACTACTTAGGATATAGTAGGTGATACTTTTACAAATCCTCTTTCATTGCTTTTGTTTTGAAACATTGTGTCAGTCTTAAGATTACAACTGTCATTGCTACGTAAAGGTAAAATGTTTTTTGGTTAATAGTTGGTTTTTCATGTTTTTATTAATCTTGTGTTTTATTTGGAGGCTTATTTTTCTCTTAACAAAAGAGATAACATATAAATATAGTTTATAAAAAATGTAGAGTAATAGAAGACTAGTTGTTCTTGAGTGAACCAGATGACAGTAGCCCCATTCTTCATTAAGAGCAACACAACGATTTTGCTAGACCAACAACAACAGCTTTCTTCTTCTCAATTGGGATTTTGCTCTTTGGAGAACCTGCACTTTGGAGACTTAAGCTTAGGAATGCAAACTTGAGAGGATCAAAGTTAGGAATGTGTTCCTAACCAATAGTGACTATAAAAGTATAGGACTTAAAATGTTTTTAGACTCATCCCTTATACAAAATACATTGCAATACTGCTTATCTTTTTGACTCTTCACTGCAATGCCTAGCTTATCCACTACCTTCAAGGGATCAAAGGCATGGGACTAACATCTTTCAACTTGTCTTTTACAGATTCTACTTGGATTGGCACATCCAGGTAAGAGCAATCTTTTTGGAGTGTAGCTTTAGATTTAGGAACTAGATTAGAAACCTGGGAAGATCTCATGGAGAGGTGTTATCCAGGTTTTCACTCCTCTTGAGAAGCTCGATACACCCTAAAAGGAACACCATACCTTGGGAGTGCATGGAATAGACGATGGCCCTCTTCCATTCATGCAAAGCTTTCCAATGTAAACTATGCAAGTGTATTCCTCTTTAATGTGCTTGGGAAGTGGCCTGTGGATTAAAACTTGGGAGAAACATGAAAGAGAGAAAAGAAAACGAATACCATAGACGTCCATGTTCTTGTTTGAGCTCTCCTGAGAAGTGTAGAAGATCCACATTGATGCAACCTCTTTCCTCACGTGAGTCTGAACCTTTTCACTCGCCCACGACCACAGCCACACCAGGGACCTTGAGCAACAACAAAGAAGATGAATCACTTTTGCGATGGCCATCCACCTACACATACAGACTTAACGAAGAACCCTAATTTCCAGGCATAAATTTTATGTTTGCATAAGTCCAATCCAGATCTCGACATAAGATTCCAAGGACACTGACGCGAAGCTGCGCTGGAAGCGTCGTGGATCCATCCTTGTCGTTGGATGAGAGGAGGAGTCATGTCATTACACAGGAATACGAAATCCAATTTGGAGTTCTCCAGCCGGGGTTATATAATTAGTTATGGCAGGCCATTAGCATCACTCGGCGCCATGGGTTGCGGTCAGACGCCATCTAACGATCAGCACGAGCACCATCAGTGCAAGGTGATCCAGGGCAAGGACATTCCGCTCCTCACGCCGTTCAAGCTTGGCGGATTTCAGCTGAAACACAGGTACAGTTTGAAGATTTGGTTTAGACTAAGTTTCAAGGTGTGATCCAATCTCGCCACTGCAGAGTGGTGCTTGCGCCCCTGACCAGGTGCAGATCGTATGGCCATGTCCCGCAGCCTCATGCTGCCATTTATTACTCACAGCGAGCCACGCAAGGGGGGCTCTTGATCGCCGAAGCCACTGCAGTTTCTCCATCCGGATTGGGGTGAAAGCTGTTCTTTCTCCATTCTCTTGTTTTACTGAACTGCAAGCTTGGATTTCAGATATCCGCATAGCCCTGGAATCTGGTCAGAGGAGCAAGTCGAAGCATGGAAGCCGATTGTCCAGGCTGTTCATGACAAAGGAGCTGTTTTCTTTCTACAGATTTGGCATGTGGGAAGAGTTTCTCATACATGTGAGTATGAATCTGATTCCTGATTCATGAAGCTCGAGCTTACATAGCGTTTTGCAGCTTATCAGCCGAATGGACAGGCACCCGTATCATCTACCAACAGGAAAGCACCGGGTCAGTTGATGCTTCCAGAAGGCACTCCCATGGCGGACTATTCGCCTCCAAGAGCCCTTGAAACGCATGAAATCGCTGGCGTTGTGGAAGATTTTCGACTTGCTGCTCGGAACGCAATGAGAGCTGGTTGGTGACTCTTATTTCTTAGATCTGTGATGGTAGAGTTTGTAATCTATCAATCTTTACGCAGGTTTCGATGGTGTAGAACTCCATGGAGCTCATGGTTACCTCATCGACCAGTTTTTCAAGGACAGCACCAATGATCGGACGGATGAATACGGTGGCTCCGTGGAGAACCGATGCCGATTCGCGCTTGAGCTAGTGGAAGCAGTCTCCAAAGAAGTTGGAGCCGACCGAGTGGGAATCAGACTGTCCCCGTTCTCCGACTATGTGGGAGCCGTGGACTCAAACCCCCTGCAGCTCGGCCTCTACATGGCAGAGGAGCTCAACAGATTCAACATCCTGTACGCACACTTTGTAGAACCCAGGATGAGAGTCGGAGCAGCAATCGCTCCAGAAGCCGCAGGCATATGGCCCTTGAGGAAGGCTTTCAAAGGCACTATGTTGGTGGCTGGGGGCTACGGCAGAGACGACGGCAACGAGGCAATCACGTCTGGGAAAACTGACCTGGTGGTGTACGGGAGGCATTTTCTGGCAAATCCCGATCTGCCCAAGCGATTTGAGCTGAATTCGGCGCTCAACGTGTACGACAGACAGACGTTCTACACTCCAGACCCGGTCGTCGGCTACACAGACTACTCCTTCCTGGAAGTCAAAGTCGCTGCTTGAGATACTGCAATTTATGTTAATAAAACTAAGACCTGTGTGATGGTGAAAGTCAATAAGTGTGATGCTGTGGACCATTTCAGCTTCAAATCTAGCTTTTTGGATTTGCTGCAGTTGTGGGGAATGAGGACATTTCTTTGCCACCTCGGTCCCTCTCTACAGAGGTGCTTATCACAGGGATCACCCAACCGCTTGAATTTCTCTTGAAATATCCCCATCCAATTGTTTGCAAGGATGAAAAAACCATACCCTGCGTTTCAATCATCATCTGAAAGACAAGGCTAGTCCAAGTAGAAGTAGAGCTTGCGCACATAACTTGCTGATCGAGAGCTGTGGATTTGGAATTCGACCAAGTAAACTCCGAGCTCTTTCTGGACAAACAGAAAAACACAAGGCCCTGAGAGGCTGATAGAAAAGTTAGGAAAAGAACCTCTGAGCACGCGAGACGATGGTGCCGAGAACTCCGAAGGCCCTGGATGACGATCACGTTTCTTTCAATCTGCCATACTCGTCGTAAGCAAGAGATCTTCCATCACGCAACTTAGCAACAATAGCCTCGGATCCGCACGCCATAGCCACTTGCTTCGCAATGCCAAGAAAACACTGTAGAAAATCAAATGTCAGCCAAGGAGTGAAAAATCGTCAACTTCTCGGAAGACTTTTTGCGAAGAACGCTCTTCAGTTCCACTGCAAGAGCTTCGAGAAGATTCACCACGAAATCAGGCAGACATGAAATGTTTACCTCCTTTCAACTCACCGGACCGACTAGCCGATACAAGAACTTTCATGAGATTATTGCTGGAAAGATCCAGTTCCTTCTTCTGTGATCAGGCACCACTTGCAAAGGCTGCCTTCGCACAGTCGACGGTGTTACGTAGCAGCATTGCTATGGTCATGGGACCAACACCTCCTGGAACCGGACTAATCCAGCCAGCAACAGTTTTCACTTCCTCAAAATCCACATCACCGACAATTCTATAGCCGAGTTTCTTCGATGGATCACTCACGGCATTTGTCCCAACATCGATAACCGCAGCACCGGGTTTTATCCAGTCTCTTTTAATCTGGAAAAAAGAAAAGAAAAAGAAAAACTCTACCAAGTTAGAGAAAAGAACAAAGATTGCGAGCAAACGAAGTACCATTTGTGGCTGGCCAGCTGCTGCAATAACGATGTCAGCCTCCTTTACAATATCTTGCGGTTCGGGTGTTCTCGAGTGAACCACAGTGACGGTAGCGTCGTTCTTCATCAAGAGCAACGCAGCAGGCATTCCAACGATGTTGCTACGACCAACAACAACAGCTTTCTTCTTCTCAATCGGGATTTTGCTCCTCTTGAGAAGCTCGATGCACCCCTGCGAGTCCCAAGAGATGAGAAACTCACCATTATCATTCTATGATCATACCTTGGGAGTGCATGGAATGGACGATGGCTCTCTTCCTTTCATGCAAAGCTTTCCAATGTTTAAAGGATGGAAGCCATCCACGTCCTTGTCGAGGCCTACGGCGTTGAGGATGGCTTCCTCGTTGATGTGCTTGGGAAGTGGAAGCTGGACGAGAATCCCTGCCGATTAAAACTTGTGAGCAATACGAAAACTATGAAAGAAAACACATACCATGGACGTCAGGATTCTCGTTTAGCTCTAGAACTTGATCCAGGAGCTCTTCCTGAGAGATGTTCTCCGGAAGATCCACATTGATGGAATTAATTCCAACCTCAGCACAGGCCTTCCTCTTCATTCTCACATAAGTCTGCGAATCCTTTCGCTCGCCCACTATAACCACAGCCAATCCAGGGACCTTGAGCAAACCAAGGAAACAAACACATTACAAAACGAAAGAAAATGCCCTGTGTTCTACCTTGCCGTGCTGTTCCTTGAGCTGAGCGACTTCCTCCGCGATCTCTTGATGAATCGCCTTCGCGATTGCCTTCCCATCGATGATTTGCGCCACGGAAGCCGGATCCGCCTGCGCAGTGATCGATCAGAGAGTCACATCGCACGCATTCCATCACTTACCATGGAAGAAACGAAGAACCCTAATTTCAGGGAATCTTCTTATTTTATTTTAGGTCTAGGCCTCTGTTTTAGGGCTAGAATGGAGGAGGAAGAGCTCGCCAAGAATGCGGGAATGCTCGAGGCCGCCATTGCTGCGGCTCTCGATGCCAGGGACGCGCAGCGGCAGCAGGAGGCCAATCAATGGGTGAGCGCCTTCGTTTCCAGGCCGCAAATGTGGACTGTGGCCTTGTATCTCGCCTTCCCTCCCGATGGCTCCGCGCTGGGACGATCAGCGGAGGTGAAGTTCTTCGTGCTCAATCTGCTGCTGTCCAAGCTGCGATCGGACTGGGTCCAGCTGGATGAGATTGACGCGCACGAGATTTTCGATCTTCTTCTCTGGCAATTGCCTAAAAATGTAGGAGATAGAATCGTGGCGAGCCGGGTGTGCGTCGTTTTGAGCGCTGCTGCTGCTGTTGCTGGAGGAGAGGCGTGCTCCCAGGTTCGTTCTTTCTTTCTTCTTCGTTCTTTCTTCCAGTTTTAATCTTTCGATTGATCTTCTAGCTGGTGGCAGATGTAATCGAGAAAACAGACATGACAAACGAGGTAGCGGTGTCTCTGGCGCTAGAACTGTTGATCGCGCTCGCGGAAGAAACGCTACACAGGTCTCGAGCTCTTGCGTGGGAAGTAAGTTCTCTTCTCTTTTTCTTTGTATCTCTTGAGCTAATGCAGGTTCTCTGTCAGGTTATGCAATGCATCCAGTTATCCTACCCGCGAGTTCTGGGCTTTCTTCAAAATGTAACTAGCGTCCCACTTCTGGAGAAAACGCTAACGTGCTTCGAGAGATGGTATGTAACAAGCTCCATTCTGAGCTGATCTTTAAGATGTTCCAGGTTGCAAGGTGGTGGCACTTTGTCTGAAACGTACTCGGATTATCCGAAAATCTTCAATGTGCTGCTGGCTTCCCTGGGATCCGATAACGAGTCCTGTGTGATTGCGTCGTCTGCAGCGCTGTCCGAGCTTATTTCAGCTGTCGATTGCCTTCCAGGCAGGGATGCTGCAGTGCGAGCAGTTATTTCCGGTGAGGATTACCTGTTAATTGGTTTTGGTTTAACTCGGATTTGCAGCTCTTCTCAGCTACAAAAGGTACTTCAACAGCTCCTCCCAACGACGCTCGCATGCTTTGTGCTGCGTTCTTGCTGCTCTCGGGGCTTCCGAACCCGCATTGATTTGTAAAGGAGGTCCGGAAGATTTACTCTTGATCGAGTGGATGATCGATGCAACCGGCGGCGGCGGTGGTCTTGGTATTGATGGAGCGGCAATGGTGGCAGTGGCGTGGCCCCGTTTCGCCACCATCTCCTCGGTAAATGTTCCTCGAGAGAAGATATTCCTGGCTATCTTTGAGGTCTGGTTATCAATTATCTTAACCATGAAAATGACAAGTAAGTCTTCGTGCTTTTACAGGCACTTGCAAGGGTTGCAAAGCATCCCTCTGACGATTTTGACATAGACGACGATGATTTTTGCGGGTAAAAGCTGTCAGTTTTTGTTGCAGATACTAACTTTTGTACTTCGATATAGATTTCGCTATGGCATAGCTGAGGATGCTATTGCTTCCTGTTTCAAGGTGCTAAGGTGCGACCTTATAGTGTATATTTCTGAAAATTTACTGCAAGCCTCTTGTTGGCAACACGCGGAATTCTATCTGTATGCAGTTTCTTGTCTACGAGAACAGATTACTTCCGCTGTTGACACTCAAAAGGCTGCCGTAGAACTTTTGAGGAGCTTGTTTTCCGGAGCTTTTGGAGGACACAATCTTCTGGAATCAGGTATGCATTCGTGGCTTTAGCTACCAATTTTCTGCTGACCATTGTCTTAACAGTCAGTGCGAGATGGCCGTCTGGGAAGCTTGTCAATACGGCTGCAAGGCTACTCAAAAGCTTCTCAGAATGGATTGCTGCCGATCCTGTAGCACTTGAGAAAGCTGTGAGCTACAGCATTACAGCTCTTGCTGTTCCTGATGGTAAATTCCTTATCTCGTTAAAGTTTTCACCTTACTATTTTGGTTTATTCTTGTGTACAGCGAAGGCATCCGGTGCTGAATCCTTACGTGAACTTTGCCGAGCATCAGCATCGCAGTTAGCCGCTGCGCGTGCTCTGTCTCCACTGATGGGAGCTTGCGAAACAGCAATCACTACTTCATTAGGAGGGCTGCAAAGCAAGGAGAGCGTTATGCTGATCGAAGGACTTGCAGCCGTTGCCGCTGCATTGCCAGTCCATGAATCGGAAGCAACTATCCAGGGCTTAACAGCCTCGGCGGTGGCTACAATCAAACAATGCTCAGTGATGCAAGTAAGTTTTGCTAGCATGGAGATGGTTTTGACTTGAAATGACGTGTGCTTATTTACAGGTTACTGATGCATATGGCAAACCTTTGGAAAGTGCCTTGAGAACGATAAAAGCTGTTGTGGACTTTGGGAGAAAATCAGACGCACATCCTGCGGTGCCAGTTTTGCGAGAAATTTGGAGTAGTCTTGATGTTCTAGCGACAAACTGGGCGACAAGCATTGATGTTGCTAGAAGTTTGTGCGACTTATGGGGAGCTTTGGCTACTCGAATGGGCGTCATGATGGAGGATGTACTTCCCCGTGTGCTGGGACTTGTCACGGGCATGTTTAAGCAGCACCTCGTTCCTTCTTGCATCCAATGTTTGTGCAGCGTAAGTTCTTGATGTTTTTTTCTTCGTCGCGCTTATATTGGTGGATTTTTACAGATTGTTGTCCTGGTATCGTCGTCTAAGACAATGCACGATGAGCTACACTTCTGTTTGTCAAACTGCCTACAAGAAGTCAGTGATGTCGTTGAATTCCTGGAGCTGGTGGTTTTAAGTCACCAAGAATCTCGACAGCGCAAAGACAATGCCTTTGAATCGCTAGGTGCGATTTGTAGCCTCGGCAGCAGCTGCCTCCGGGACATCCCTCTCGTTTTTGTTCCGTCAAAGTCGCTGGCAAAGTTTTTCGGGTGTGCCATTGGTAAGCTTTAAAGTTTCCTGGGTGTCTTTTTTTACGACTTCAGCTCTGGCAGGTGTTTTGCAAAGAGGTGATTCTGAGCCTGCAGTTTATGCTGCTAAGTTCATAACAAGTACTATTTTTCTGGGAGGATTGAGCGAGACGGAGTCGTGGCGGATTTCTCAGGACCTTAAACCATATGTCAATGAAATTGTCGTCCCCAGCATACCAAGACTGGTAGAGGTACATTTGTAGTGGTACTCACTTTCAAGCCACTTAACAGCGTTACAGACAGTCGTCAGGTACGTGGCCTACGGACAACTGACCGTGATCTTCAGAGACGCCTTAGCAGACATCCTATACAGTCTAGCTCTGGAACACCCAGCCAGCACGGAACCTGTACTTCGTGCCTTTGTCACCTCTCCAGAGCTACCAGCAAGGCATGGAGTCATGGACGAAGCAAGCAAGCGGCAATTCGTAGCAGCAGTCATGCGAACACACCTGAGACGAGCTTTTCAAGGTCATCTTTGTTGGTGAGCGAAGTTTCGAAAAGACTGACGACAGTGTCCTTGTCCAGAGCTAGTCTTGGACTTTTCTCGAGTCCTTCAGGCGGCGAGCCCTGCCGAAGTCCTGTTCCAGTACTGAGAAACGCGAGCCCTGCCGAAGTCCTGTTCCAGTACTGAGAAACGCGAGCCCTGCCGAAGTCCTGTTCCAGTACTGAGAAACGTGGCACGACTTAGCCGTAAGAAAGAGACTCTAGCATTCTTTACATTTTCTTCTATTGGCGTCATGTGTTTCAGGACGAAAAAACTACAGAGCGAGGGAATATCAAGAATGATCAAACATGCGAAGCTTCCCAGGAACAATAGAAAAAGGAGAGGTATGTGACTTTGTCTTCCAAAGAGGAATCTAAGTTGAACACGTTTTCAAATGTAGAAACTCTTGTCAAAGATGGTCCATTCAACTCCCCTTATATAAAGCTCTAGTGGTGCCACAGCTTCAACAAATCATTCATACAGTTGCTAGCTCATCCACAGCAGCAGCGGTTTCTACGCACACAATCTAGCAACTTCTGCACTGATTTCCATGGCTTTTCCAAAGGACAAGATTGCGTTCTTGTATATCCACAAGGAGAATGGCGAGGTTCCCTTCATCTCACAGTCTGCCAGGAGATATGTCCCCCAAGTTGCCACTCGGAAGAGCACCAGTGAGGAATTCACGTTTTCCTCCATGGTTGCAAGCACAGCAGAAGATTTAGAGGCGGCCAAGCAAGCCACACGCTCCGTTGCTCCAGAGATCAACAGATACACCATTTCCATGCTTGGAGTTGATTCATGCTCTTCGTGGGAAGCCACCGTCTACGAGAGATACATTGGGAATGGATTCGAGGGCGTGGTTTTCATCCAGGAGGAGGATAGCGAGAACATGAAGTATCTTGCCTCTCTGCTGCTGGACAACAGCGTCATGACTAGGGATTGTCTTCTGGAGCCCTTCAGCTCGCACACACCTCAAGAGGTGGACGATATCACCTCCCAAATTGTGGACATCATCGAGAGGAATTACATCCACTTTCCAAAGCACGACCAGTGGTTCACAAGTGGGGGCAAGCAGAGGTTTGCGGACAAGGTGAGGTACCACGTCGCAAGAAACATTCCACTCGAGTTCGTCTTGCCCGCATTTCCAGTCAAGTCGTGCAATCCCGACAAGACTCTGGGAAAGTGCCCGGACAAGGCCGAGGAGCTGGCCATCGATTCCATGAAGATTGTTGCGGATCTCATCAAGGCCGTGTATGCTCCAGGCGTGCACTACAACGTCGCCTCGGATGGCCATGTCTTCTCTGATCTCGTCGGCTCGGACGATGCTGCTGTGGATTCTTATGGCGAGATGTTTTGGGAGATGGCACACAACTTGTATCCGGGCTTGGTCAATTTCTTTCGCCTGGATGAGTTTCTGCTGGACAACCACAGCGAGAACAGCATCGCAAAGCTTATCTCCAACACCACCGTGGAGCATCCTGTTGCTACCGAGCTCACCGCCAATGCAGAGAATTCCAGGCGAGCTCTCATGTGCTTGTTTGGCTGTGACGAGTCAACTGTCACCAAGGAGATCAAGGATGACCCGGAGACACGCAATCTTTATCGTGGCTTCTCCAGGTTCATGCTCGAGGACTTGTACGAACACAAGAGTTGTAAGAATCTCCCGTCAAAGTCGGCCAAGAAGAAGCTGTGCAGCCAGGTTGCCTTCCTCATGATCCTCAGGAACCGTGCATACTCGGCCATGGTGGAGTGGCTCTTCCCGTTGCAGCTGCGCATCTCCATCCATCCGCATCCAAATCGAGGTCCCAAGTATGGTATCAACATCATCCATTCCTCTCTTGTGGCAGCCCAACGTTCTTCCGAGGAGAAGAACTTCCACATCCCAACG